TAGAAGATGCTAAAGACAGGGTGATTAGGAAAGTGTGCAATAGTTATCCGATACTTGGAGTAGAGATATAGAGGAAATGTACCACAACCAAGAGCGAAACACTGGTCTAAATAGTTATCGGTAAGACAGTAGAACGGTAAAGTAACTAGGAACCAGGAACACAACATATTCATTGCAGATTGAAGTAGGATTGAAATGTGCAATCACAGTTGTGACTACGGTTTAAGTTAATCTTAGGCCATTCCGACTGCAGGGAAGCTCCGGTTATCTATATATGCACAGTACGATTAGAAACGAAACTGATCGTGAGATGTAAGTTTGAAAGTAAACAACACCAAAGCTTACCATATTTTAAAAGACAATTTACCCATTTGCCCTGTTGTTAAGGATCCCATTTATTACTATATGCTTTAAGGCAATAAAGTAACCACCGTTATGCTTCATATGATTGCACTATCAGAAACGACGCTAGTACTTATTATTTTGGAGCAATTTTGCCTAACTTAAGTTAGCTTTAATTGATTTAACGCTTGAATTACATTTTAGACGCAGGCAAAAATGGGGTAATAGAAAATTGTGTTATACGTGCCAATTTGAGCAATTGACGACCATAGCATTTTACTCCCGTGAACATTTAGCAAGTAGGGAAGTGACTTCGAAATCTTGAAAAATTACGATATCAAGAAACGTACTGCTTTGGAGGGATAGGGATAAGTGAGTTTCTTGCAAACGCTCACTCTTCGCTGCTATTAGAGCCACTGTTTTTTTCCTGAATCTCTCAACCGATATTTCATATCATACGCTACGCATATAAATGAGGCAGAATGAATCTGGGATACAACAGTAAGAGGAACACAGCAAAATAGGAAAGATATTCTGGTGCTATTCTACATGGGTGTAATGCTCTATTAGCCTAAGCCATTGAGCGTTCGGCTTGGTGTCGCAACCTTGCCTCAAGGGGTGATGACACAAGTGGCTGGCATCATTTGACAGCAGGTTCCATTATGTGAGATCATCGCACCGACTTCACTGGTTTCCATTGCATCTCTACTGGCGGGTTCGCAGTATCTTTACGTTAAGTAGGCTTGTATGGCATATTTGATTTGAGGCTTACGCGAACGCAGTTTCTATAGAATCCAGAGTACCGCGCTCCGACTGTAATCAATTTGATCGTTTCTAAGGCTTATCTTGTCAAAGCATTGGTATGCCATCAGCTCAGCCACAACCAATGTGATTTGGTTTTCCCCGTCAGGTCGGTCATTAGGTTTGATAAGAACTCTTGACTGACTGCAAACATGTGCAGTCCATGTTTCAGTATAGTCCTTGTCCAAATATATGCAAACGGATATGAGAATTCAACCGGTCCAATCCAGACGGTTCTGTTTCCAACTGAGTACTTTCGTTACATAAAATCATCCTTTGGTGACCAAATCGTGTAGGCAGCTAGGCCACGATAGTTGTTAAATTCAAACCAACTTCTTGGGGAAACATAAGCAGAATCAAGGCAACTGGTTAGCTGTCTTTTAAGCAATCCCGAGGATATGATCAGCAGAGAAATAGACGGTTTTAGGCAATCTGCAGAAAATGCATGTTGAAAAGGCTTTCAAATCGAGGGCCAATAATAACGTGATGCATATAGACGACATCATTAAAGAACATTGTCTATTCCTTCCATGCCTGTTTTTCGCTAGACTACCGCTCTCTTAAGACGGAAACTTCGCCGCTCCATCAAAATGTCTTGTACTGAATTGCACTGGTAAGGAGTTCTATCAGCAATTGTGCCCGTTGAGGTGTTGATGTAGTAGCGCCGCTGGTGGCGTCAAGTTCAACGCGATTTAGGATATCGCTTCTAGGGCTTATCCTGAGTATAATTGTCAGACTACATTTTTCCCCCGTTACACTGGAGTTCGTTTGGGAAACGAAAGTAGTCCAACTGTTGAGCGTACGTCTCTTAAATCGCCCAACTTTGATCTGTATATTCTCTGATATCAAGCAAAACAAGCATTAATACGCAAAAAAAGATTCGGATATTGCCAACAAGAAACTGAGGCTTGGTGTCCACGCGACTGAAAAACTCGGTAAATGTAAAGCAACAATCCATAAGCAATAGCAATGTTCCTAAATTTGTTGAGATACTGGTGGGTTAGCTGTAAAGTCCAATCATCATGGCTTCGAAGCAGCACGGTCGCCGCCAATACAAGCCGCACATCTTCAATCTACTGGTTGCAAAGCGTAGGTGGACTGAAGTGGAATCGTAAATGCCGCACTTTTTCTACGCATGTCCAATGCGTCATTCTGTATACTTTTTAACAACCTGAAATCTACACCCTCCCTAGTGGGTAGTATTAAGTTCCCCCTCAGTGCACGTTGTAGTTGCGTGTTCAAGTAATATTTTTCAATCGGATTCGGGTCTAGTGCGGCGTCCCACGATCGTTTAGAGTTCCGCTATTTTCGCTGAGAATAATAATTTACCAAGAGCAAACGGTGGTCCAGAATACCGCTGCCTGCTCGACGGAGACCTGGACGGTCCTCGTTTATGGCCAATGCCGAATCCATTCCTGCTTAACGAACATAAATACACAACTGCCTGTACACGTTTTCAGGCAACTTGATTTCTCAGGCCTAGAGATCATTTCATGCAGGAAATCTCTCAGGAATTTGAAGCAGTCATTCAGGGTAGCCCTGGCTGCTTAAAACAAGCAGTGAAATTGCTAAAAATTCAGAAACTAATAAAACGGTACCATTTGATCTTCCAGCTTGTTTGACCCGTCCATCTATCCCCAAATGCTTAGAGTATACGTGGGTCAACATATGGAAAATACCATCCATTATTTCTAATTTTGATGGAAACACGCTGTTTGCTTTTTTGAAAAACTCCGGATCAAAGGCTACTAAGAATGTGACAGGGTTGCTCATTCTCCCACATTATCTTTGACTGAAGGAACTGAGAATGTGATGCTTGCGATACTGACTGCTACGGTGTGACTCCATTTTAAAGTGACCGATCTTAAAGAAAAACGGTTATGCCTATTGTTACTTCATGGAGCAGCCACAACACGAACCTGAAGGGCCACCAGCTAAAGCTGATCACGCATTATAGCTAAGCGAATTGTTGCTGAAGCACTTTCTCTTCGTGTGTCAGTAGTGGAATAGGTCTGCAGATTGGCTACTGCCACACCCACTCATCTACAACAACAAGACAAATTGATGGTACACTAAGAAATATACATTACAAGACATACCCAATATATATTGCGAGACGGCATAACGCGAAAAACATTGAGCTCACCATTCTTATTTTGAAGTCAATATAGTTAAATTTTCTTTTACGCTTATGTTGTTATCAAGGTGAATCCAACAACTTTGCTGTAGTTTGTTGTCAAAAACTGTTTTTACACTCTAATCATTCTGTATGACTAGCTGACCGTCTTTTTAATAAAAACTACCTAATGGTTCTCAGATGTGTCATTATTCTTTTCGCCTTACTTCTACCTCTGTTGTTGCACACAAATTAGCCACGGCTACCTGTTGGTACACAGTGGTAACCGCCAAGCGCAGCTTGTTCTGAATATGCTCAAGTGCTTTGAAACTGTGCAATTAAATGAGAATCCGCAGGACGTTTTCTTCGTGCACGTAAACACTCCCCTCATGTTTGAAGCAGATGGTTCTACAACTGTCTATCTTATAAACTCTGCTCTTCAGTTCGAAGTAGGTGAGCTCTGACTGTTCCGAGAATCAGGTTATGTTACAAGCAGGTACACTGAAAACAAAGAGGCAAGTAGCAAGCCAGCTCTCAATCCCAAAGACGTATATAAGCATTAGTGACACCTCTCCTAGCGGAGCTACCGAACGACAACGGTCCAACTTTTTCTTTACTGGCCTGTCATTCAGACATCACCACGTGGTCCCACACACCCGACCGTGAACTCTCAGCCACTGCTCCCTATTGTCGGCCGTCTTGCCTAATTCATGCAAATTGATATCTGGTCAATACAATTTCCGGCACGGTGAGTCATTGTCCTGATGGCTGTACGCCCCATTAACCGCGATAATAACAACCACCTTAAAGGATAAAGGAGTCAGTGCAAAAGCACCCGTGCTTTTTGGTTACAATGAAAAGCAGACGAAGAAACGGTGGGAATCCCTTTGTCTGTACAAAATCGTATACACATGGGATAGCATTAACGGTGGGTTCGCTGTCCGAAGTTTGAAGGTCTGAGTTGACAGAGACCAAACCAACTTCTGCACAAAAAACAGAAATGTTTGATTACAGAAACGGGGTATTTGGAGGCCGGGCTATCTTGGCAATCTTGCGACGTATAACTGGCACTAGCCACCAGGACAGGATTTATTTAACCTACACTATCCCATGCACAGCCGCTGACTCGTACTTGCAACTTACTTTTTGGCAATATTAGCAACCATCAGCAGTGCCCGCTCTGCGTATACATTGAGCTTAGGACAAGGCTCCAGTGTTGTCCTTACAGGTATTGTAAATATCCGAATATTTGGAACAGGCATGCCCTGTAACGCGGATCTTTACATTCATTTCAGAATACATACGATTCAGTGGTACACTAAGTAAACTACTCCTGAATTCAATCTAATCCGGTTAGATCAATACCAGTGTCGATGGTTAGGCAGATATTTCCATGGACTGAATTTCCGTTCAAGGATCATCAGCTTTTTCAGTTCGACTGAAGATTGGCCAACTTGTATTCAAATCGATCGAATGATCGTGATACCAGAGACCAAAACAGACGTTATCGACACCGGAATCTCGTTACTTTTCACTGTCATTCATTTGCTCTTACTGAAAGTGCTGAGCAGAAAGCTGTGGAAAATGTCTTTGTATCTGCGATTGGACACATGGCCCTCTTGAAATTTCAACACAACTAGGTGTCCTTATCACAGTTGACAAGTAACATTTAAACATAGGTCGTCACTTTGAATCCATCATTCAGTATATTATGCCTGTATCATTAATTTCCCCTTTGCAGAAACCGCCGTACTGGTGGCTAACGCACGTATTACGGATTATCCCATAATTTACATAAACGACACTTTCACACGAATGACAAGCTATTCCGCACGGGAGTTTATGCAATCCAATGCCATTCTGAGAAGGTTGCACGGTGAGCGCACCTCGATCAATGCAGTAGAGAGGCTGGAACGTGCCTTGACAGAAGGATTGTTGGAGCAGGTGGAAATTACACTTTACAAGAAAAACAGTAGGTTTCGGTAGAGTTACTGCATGCATCAAATTTCAGTGGTTTCATGTTCATCGGCGAGAACTCTAGCCTTAGTATATATTATCAATCCACCTCATTCGTGTATGGTCGGTCAGAAGAATGCAGTATGTGAATGGCGTTAAAATTATCTAGTGTGTTCCTGTAGAAAGGACATCAGCGGCGAATAATATGCGTATCAGAATCCCTTTCCTCATAACAGAATTCACCAGTGCAATTTGCATAACAACCCCTCGAAAGCAGCGCTCACACACATTGGTAAATTATATGAAAAGTTGTAAAGTCTTCACATCACCTTGTGTGACAAAGTCACCTACGTTGCTGCCTATAGTCTACCCAAACATCGCAGTATCATGGACTTTCTTTTCACTTGATGTATCCGATAAATATCAAACTCGGTGTTAGTTAGGCGATTCATCCAATTAGACATCAAGGTGATTGGAAAATCTGGGATTGTCCATACTTTAAGAACTAACCGCATACGTCACGCAGTACATTAAGTTTAAATACTGTCATTACACATGTTCTGGAAAAGACTGATTTTCTAGTAGCTTTATTCTTATATCAGTGCTATTTTGAGGCACTTTACCTGGTTCGTTTCAGCGCCCACCGCACGTAACCTCATAATCACGTCATTGTAAGCACGGCTGTCTGTACCAGCTCAAAGTTGCCCATTGCGCCAAAATCCACTTATCTCAGGGTGCCCATTTTAAAAAGAGGTTACAATAAAACGCTATATCATCGCGTGTGTTGTTATGAGCCAAACGCAAGTGGTTTTAATTAGATGAAAACCAATGGGTAGCGATTGCTGATGTGACTGCATTTCACATAAATCTTGCCTAATGCTATGTATGATCTGAACCCACGTCCATGTATTTATGGTGTTTGACCAACGGTTCGATGCAGTATTCCTGTTTCTACTCTGTAACCACTTAGTGATATCGTCCTTGTGCCAAAACAAGGGAAGCAGAGTACACGGTACTAGTCATACCCACCGCTTTGTAACGCAGTCAGTAGGCCCACCAAATACTGCAGTGAATTTCGACGCGGAACCCGGATTCAATACAGTACACTGCAGACCGTCATGTGCGCTGCTGTTTTTGGTGGCACTCGATTTTTGTGTATTAGGAAAAAATATACATGGGAACCACGTGCTAGACAATCGTCACTCCAATGGATGCACAACTAAGTCAAAATCGGATAAATGTTTGGTTCTACGAGTTCGCAACACCGTACTCCAGACCCGTTATTTGCTGGTCGTGTTGGAATCACTGCGACTCTGGGACTTAGAGGCGGAAGCTCTGTTTGGCATCCCACCGATTTAGAGTGCGAATTACAATCTAGCCACCTCTACCGGACGAAAGTAAACAGAAGTAAAACCGTTATGAATGGCAGTGTTACGAGCAGGCAACGGCTAACATTTAGCCATTTCAGACGCGGTCTTAATTACCGAATTAACCGAAGTTCACTTCAGAATGAAGTTCAGTCCAAACTTACATTACTTACTGAAACTTATGCACGCAACGAGCGCTTCAAAATGACCCTCGCACAGGTCAAAATCCGTCACTTTTATTTTCAGTTGGGAGTGAATGGGCGGGGTTATGTGTACCGTAGCGCTACTCACTATGACTCTCGTACAGGTACGCGTGTTCTGCATTTGGTCACAACGATAATTACAAGTAAGACCCAAAAGTACTGTAACAAAACCATGGAAAAAAGCGGAAATCAAGCATACAAGTTACACTGATGGATTTGACCTACTGTTGGCAACGCGCTTTTTCCATTTGCGACGCTCCGTTCGGTGGCTATAAGGTTGTGTGTTTAGTCGCTCATATGCGCTCACTTCTCCTATGTTAGAGATATTCACAGCCTATCTAACAGTAAGCGGCTAACCTAACCCGCTTTTCTTTAAAAAGCTTAGAAGCGCCGATAACCGTCACAAAACTATGCACACACCATCTAAAAACCCTGCCAAAATTCCACCATAATCGAGGCCTTTAACCAGATGGTTCAACCCAAAGACAAATGGAGTCACTGGTCGAAATGCGTTTCTCGAATTGTTTGGGTGAATGTCAAGCACTCTCACTGAGCGGAATTTTACCGTCTGAGGTTGTATGTGATAGCAGCTTTTTGCCGACTGTTCGAAATGATGATACAGTTTTCAGAAAATTATAACAATTTAGAGATGAGAAACTGTGGTATCAGTGGATGGTTTGGAAAAGAATGCAAGACATTGGTAGTTTTAGGCGGCAACCGTGCAAGTAACTTGTGCTTTGCTGTTGTAAACTGTCCGCTGAGGTAACTTTTTACCGTGGCTAGCTAGGTTATAACCACAGCACAGACAAAAAACTTCACGAACATAACATTGACATCCATCAATGCACTCCTAACAACAAAAGCCCTATATTACATGTACATAAATGCCCAACGCCTTCTAAGCAATTTGGCCGATCTTAGCGAACTACATGCCTCACAACCGCGGGACCTCGTCATGATTGCAGAGACCTGATTAGACCTTGAGATAACTGATTCTGAGATCAATTTACCCGGCATGTCGCTGCTTCGGACCGATAGAACCGGAGGGGGTGGCGGGGTAATACTTTATTATAATGCAAACCTCCGATGTGAAGTTATCGATCACCCGAAAATCCGCGCTCCTGATTCGCTTTGGTGCCGCCTATGGTTGCGAATCAAAGACACATGTCTACTAGCCGTGCTTTACCGCCTGCCAAACTCTACGTCGGAAATGGACTCCAAACTGAACCACGTTTTTCAGTTTGCGTTGAACAAGTCTTACATCCACATTCTTATCGCTGGATACTTTAACGTGCATGACATAGAAACGCCGGCAACCGAGGATACGCAGTTTAAAGCGTGCTTGCAAGAGCTAATTGCTAGCCACCCTCTATGCAACCATGTAACTGGTCACAAAATGCACACACAGCAGTCAGGCTATGACTAGGCGAAGTGGTTAAATTCTCGCCATTTGTTTATCGGATCACTGGCTGGGCGATGGATCACGAGAATATACCACCGTCAGCAAGTTACCCTCATCAGTCTGCATCGCGTTACGTGCCTGCGAATGATTATTTTTCGTCTTTATGGCTAGTGCGAGTGTAACGCTGAAAGGACTGCTCGACAATACAACACTATCCACAGTGCCAAGCGCCCCATCAACAGACGGTATGCTTGTAGGCTGGTGAGAAAATTTGAGCGAACTGGGAGCGTGTGCGATGCCAAAAAGACAGCCGCCTCTCATCACCACGGCTGACTTTTCTGCTTGTGTGGTTATTCGTGAAGTGTCCAGAAGCTGTGATATGACCATTCGTAAACTCGCCCAGCATGGCGACACCAACAGATATGCTGTCTATTGGATTTTGAAGGAAAGGAAATTCCGGAAGTATAGGGCCCATCAAGTGCAGGTATTAAATCCATGTGATTCGGGGTAGCGGCTTCATTCGTGCCGCAAGTTTTTGAGTGCCATGGACATCCATTCAATTTTTTACCGATGAAGTTGTTTACCGTTTGCACGGTGCGGAGAAGCAACCGTGTTGGGCAACGTGTAATCCACGCTGATGCAGTGCTTCACATATACAACATGGCGCAAAGCCCATGGAATGGGCCGGGCTAACTGGCCAAATAATCGTGGGACCATTTTTCTATTCCGGATATGTAACCGATAGGTTGTTTTTTCGCAGTACTAACGCCTTACGTCGCTTTTTCTGTAGCCACTCACACGGTTAATAACGAACGACGAGTCATCTGTTTTAGACCTCCTGCTCACCAACCAGGAGCTAATCGTCTGTATCATGACCGTCCAGTGGCCACAGTGCTTATGCGACTCTACTCTAACGTTACGTCTGTTATGTGGAATACATGGGTGGAAACATCGAAGTAGTCCACGTTACCGCCCATTACCAGGTTCCTACTGACTTCGTTGAAGTAATCATCTGGTTTTGCCCAGGTAAGAAGCATCACGAAGTTGCCTAGATGGAGTCTGTCACCCAGTTTCCCTAATTAGTGGCTAATGCGTAGGGAAAGAAGCACTTTCACCTGAAGGGAACGAAATTATTTCTGAGGAGCCGGATTCAAAAATACATGGTCTTAGAAGATTTAGGCTGGCGTCTTTAGAAAGTAACTCTGCCTAAACGAAAACACGGCGTCCAAATCGTTCGCGAAGATTTAGTAGCGGAATTCAGCACCAGTCCCAGAAGTCGGTAGCAGCACGTCAATAAGCTACGCAGAATGCTGCTCGGAATCCCGGTTAGATGTGCAGAAGATGGTCTATCGCTAACGACACAAGACGCGCCCAGTGTGCTTCGGCAACAATTGATTGGCATGTTCCAGAAAAGATAACTTTCGCACTCACCTTCGAGAGAGCGCACGTCAACTTCAGAGCTATGTCACGTATCCTCCTTTGCAGCAAATGTGATGAAGTGACTGTTGTCCTTGCGCGCGTGCGAATTCCCGTGTGAGAACGACTTACACCCAAAGGCGCTGAAGAAAACTACCTTGAATATCGGCGAACCGTTAGCTCGGTTCATTCGAGGATATCTTGATGAAATGCAACTTCCAACTATGTGCAAGCCAGTGAAGGCTACTCCTATTTAAAAGAGTAGCAATCGTGTGGCGTTATGGAACTAACATTCAATAACTCTCCTCCCTGTTTTGCTAAAATTTATGGGAAGTATCATCGCGCTTATGAGATACCTTGAGAGTAACATCACAATGTGACATCAGAACTGACTCGGTCGAAAGTTGCTCTTCACTACAAACTTGCTGCTAGTCCGAGTAAACTGGAGAGAATCATACGATGCCAGAGTAGGAGTCCACAACATCCATGTTGATTCCTCATAAGCCTTCGACCGCTTGTTCCGTCGCATTCGCCTTCACAGTCTTCTAAGCTCTGGAATCAATGACCTTGTCCTTGGGTGGACAATAAACTTCCTCATGCAACGTCAGCTGAATGTGAGACTGCAACGCCATTTCTGAACGTAGTGAAGTAGTGTGCATATCTCTAGCCTTCATAAACTGCCTTATTAGTGTATTGTGGTTGAAATTCCCACAATTTGTGGACGATGTCGAAATCTGGTATGATAACAAGATAGTGGACGATGACCCGGCACCGCACAGCGAAATCGACACGGCTTATACATGATCATCCGAGAACCGGCTCCGACTCAAATTGGCGAAATGTAACGTCATGGGTATACGCCATCCAGTTGTCCATCAATATCGAATTGAGGACAACCAGTTGCAACGTGCCATTTCGGAGTACTTATTTAGGATAATCTTCGCTGCACAAACCAGATCGAAAATGCAACGATAATGGTCAGCAGCATGGCCTAATATGGACACCACTTGTTGATTTATGGCCCGCTATCTTTCCGCAAATGCGAGATACCTACATAAAGTCTCATGTAGCATGTGCTATCGAATCCTTGTGTCCCTGACATAAAACCCGTGTTGATAAGCTTGAAGATCCATAAAGTAGAGCGACCAAAATCTTTTGGAGATTGGTTCGCCTCCCCTACCAACTCAGACTGCAAGACCTTGGCTTGCACAGCGAAGAACATTCGCATCGGATAGGTGACATCCTGCTTTAGCTAATGCTGGTGGACCGAAATCGCGTCTGTGGCCATCTGTAGCAACTCAGCCAGAATACAAACCGAAGAGGTCATCACCTCAAACTCGCCAAGTCATAGAGTCGAACTGATGACAAAAATGTTTCTCCATTAGGATGTCCCGAAAATGAAAAACCTGGCAATTCATATCATTCTTTCTCCTTTGATAACACCACAAAATATGCCTTGATGACATGCCATCCCATTAGCAATACCTCACATGGTCAGTTTCAATCAAGGATGAAATAAAACGAACCAAACGATGCGCTCAGTAACCCGCCCCAAAACTTAGCGGTTGATAAAAAAGGATCCTTGTTCAAGTGAATCGCTTTGTTATTAACCTAATAACCAAAGGTTCCTCATTTTCACATCCATTCTACTTTTGATTTTGTACTCCTTATTCCGCTACTTCTACAAGACTCTAACCATTAGATCTTTACTGGTTAAAAATATCTGCGCATTTGTTGTGATTCATTCGCAATTTCGACCGTCGCCCTTCTTCGTTTACTCTTTTCTCCTGTTTCAGAATCCATGTTCTGGGTTATCATGTGCATCGCACCGGTAGAGAATGATAAAGGGGAACTGCAACTCTACCTCATCCTTCTCTACGACATTTCACCTCTTCGTCAACCCATGGATGACGATCCTCTTCGTGGAAGTAGGTTACTTCTAGCATCCCGTTTGCTACATCCAGTAGGGTAACCATCCCAGCTGCTGTGTATGGTAAATGGGTAAAACTTTCCCTCCCCTCTACCAATCCCCAGACGGACGGACTGCGAATGTGTATTTAAAATAAAAGGTTTATCATCAACACTTTAGGTTCGTATAGGTACTCGGCGCTGTTTCCATTGGTGTTCACCGACCACTCATGGTCATTCCCGAGGTAACCGACCGTTGTCTTAAGAACTACACATAATCAACTTCTCACGGCAGTGCACATAATACTAAGCCTAGCAGGTTTGGCACCAAAGCCCGTTGCCTACACAATGCTTCTTGATTCCATTGTTATAAATATCAGTCAAGTCGGTTACCATTCTGAGGGGACTAGTCAAAGTGAAACTTCATCGTAGTTGACACATTTGCAGAAAGGCTACAGTATACCATTTGGTCTGCTTTCGGACCTATCAGCGTTGTGATTTTCAGTGAACTCGCCACTACTTAGCCGCTAGGCGAAGGGTGAGAGATGCAAATGCTGGGCATAAAACGAATTATATTCATTACAAAAAATTATCAGTAATAGAATACCTGTCCAATTATTATAGCAAGTGAAGAAAATAACCGACTTTGTCATGAATGGGCTTTTATAAAATTTACTCTTATAGCCAAAAGATAGTTGCTAGCTGTTGTACTAACTAATGTTTCGGTAATTAGGATATCAGCAGATGACCACAACGCTTGGGTTCTATGGCCACTTCCGACTATTCACAGCTGTGACTGAGACTGAGACTGTACTTAAGGGTAAGTAGAAAAGTTGCAGTGATGATATCGAATTAGGAAAACCAAAAGCATTTGATTGCGAATCGTCAGCGGCAATGTTTGGTCAGTTAATCGTTCATTCTTGTTCGGTTAGGAATTCGTATTGGTATCATTATTTCCGCATATAGAATGTATTTTGTTTCCCATTGTATCTGCACTGCTTCACAAAAACACAGGCTTCCAAACTAATTGTCGATATGTGTTTTAAAACACTTCCCAGAATGTGGTAGCGGATTCCATAAGTTTACGATTCTTCGTTTTATAAAAAGCTAATGTGATACCTTGTTCATGCAGAGGACCCTGAGTTTGTAACGGTGTCCACCAAGTGATCCTCCAGATTTTCAGATCATCTGAAAACAGGGCACCTGGTAACTGAAGTTGATTCGGGAGAACGTTGGTATGAATAAGAAATAATACTGGCCAAAGTACAGTTCCTTGAGACACGTCATTGGTAGATGGGAACCAGTCGGTCAGGTGGTCACTGACCGGTTCTCTTAACTTTGTCCCACAATTAACTCCGGTAACCACTGAAGTAGCGTGCCACCAATTCCGTAGGTCCTCAGTTTACGATGGAGTACTTCGTTGTTCACTCTGTCAAACGCCTTACTGAAGTCGATGTGCACGACGTCAACATCCTTCCGTTCCTTGAGAGCTTGTGCCCAATGGTAGTTTTGATAGCTGGGCGAGAAAGTAGATTGCCAACGCACGTGGATTTGACAAAAATCCTGCTTGGGAAAGACCCTGCGACCGTGTTGCCAGGGCCAAGCTGAAAGCTGATGAAATCACGCATCAGACATCACGTGCGTTGCCAAGCACCGGGTACGCGGACGAAGACTAGAGTGGCCGAGCAAGACGGTGAACTGGAGAGACGGAGTGGATAATCAAGCGTGGAGCGTGGGCTTACAGCCAAATCCGCCTGGTGATGTTTGGAGGGTTGATGAGACCGACATATAAATATGAGCGTTCTCCTTCCTATTACAACTATGGTCTGATGAGTCTTCTTCTGTCTTCCTTCCTGTCGGGTTTGTCAAAGCGTCAAACAGAACTGGTTTAAGGGCGCAGATTTACCAACTGGCGTAAATCAACCGGTCGACTGCGGGTGCAGCGTTATAACAAGTTTGTCTACATTAAGTTGGTGATGCAGGATCGCCCGTTCGTAAAGCCGTGCTGCGCTGGCGCAAATATGTCAATCAATTCCAAGAACGACAGCAGACACTTTTTCTATACCTTCTCGAGCATTCTGAGTAATATCGAAGTCAAACAGATCGGTCAATAATTCTCTATTTTACTCGGATCACCACTCTTTGGAAGCGGCCTCCCTACAGAGCGTTTCCAGTCGCTGTGTTCTGATCCTTCAGACAGTGCTTTGTTGAATAGTTTTGTCACGGCCGGTGAGATTACATACGACGGGATTTGGGTATTAGTGGGTGAAGTCAGTCTGGTCCGGGGGGGGGGCTTTGCATCATCGAGGTTGATAAATAGCTGATGCACATCGACTTAATCACTCTGTAAACCTCCGTGAGCTCTGCTCTTGAAATGAGCGTTTGTCCGTCCAATCTCTCTAAGAAAGGTAGGTCGCCCGGAATTTTCAGCTGACATTTCAAGTAAGCACATATTCTCCTGGGGGCGACTGTGACCAAAATTGCTAGTTTCTCTTTGAACTGCAGGCGTTTCTTAATCTTTGCGGCGTTACATATGTTACGCTGTTTCTTGTACACCATGTATTCATTACAACCCGAGATTATGTAGCTCTCACAAAGTTTGCGACGCCGCCGCACTGACTGTTTATATAGCTTAACAAAGCAATGCGGTTTCACAAGTCCGACATTTGAATACTTCAGAGGAAAGAACCGAGTACACAGCGAATTAAGCTTTTCCTTCATTTATTACCAATAGGCCTCAAGCGACGCATCCTGTGGTATTTTCCATTAGGTCTGGCTTGCGGTTTGGATGAGCCCGTTGAACTCCGTCTTCCAATAGTTGAATGTCGGCTCCCGTTGAGTGTAATAGGTAACTGCAATTCTATGCACATCAAGATGGAGCGGTGGTCACTGTTCGCCAGAGGTTCGAGGACTCTGACCTCCTTCAGATTCTGCTCGCAGCTCATAAACATTAAGTGCAGACAGGACGCCGAGTGCGGAGTTACCTGCGTCGGTTGGATGACATGTTGCATTGCTCCGATTTAAATAGTCATTTTAGCGAATTGGGCCTCAACTTCGCCATATCTTGGAAGAAGCCGAACGTCTGGCCAAAATATATTATGTAAGTTTAGAGCTTTATCGGCATATATTGTGGGCGGCTCATGTGCTTCAGTATACGTAAAGGCAATCGCAACAACCGTTAAATGGGCTACGATAGATAACATCCACTGTTAGTTCTCTGCGTCTGAGGCGCATTGTGCACCACAGTGAGTCGCAGGTGTTATCCTCCCTCCGATAGTTGTTGATAATCTTTCTGGGTAGTGACGATTTGATGTACAACGGAACACCACCGTGAACCTTTGATTTTCGGTCGCTTCAGAAACGAGAGTATCCTGACTAGGCGACTTCATGAGGAATGACGTCGTATTTCAGCCAAGTCCGTACAAGTCCTACAACGTCCGGTCGATCCGAGAAAGCGAAGCGGGACGGCTCGTCACATTTGTACATTAAGCTGCACTCGTTGGCGAATGCCACACGGAGGTACTGGGAGATACCGCGGGACGTGCCTGAAGATTGAGCAACCGGTTGATACTGGTTGGTGTACACTAATTGATCGCGCGAAAATGTGAATTTTGTAAGTCAGGCTCACCTTCTTCTGTACGGAGTTTGAGCTCAATGACTGCAGTCTTCAAACGATCCCTGTCTTCAGGTTCCAAGTGACAGCGAATGTGTGGGATTTTAAAATTTCAGCCTCGACAGACGAGAGAGCATAAGCTGCGGCACATTGCGATTTTCAATTGTGATTCTCTGAGATCGACATGACTGGGTAATCTTCTGGCCAATTCGGATTAATTGGTTACTCGTTACACTGAATTTACCCACTTCCTGAAGTCTATCGATGAGACTCTGGAGGAATTCATTAGTTCAATTTCAATAGTTCAATAGTGTATAGTGGGATAAAATGCATAACTTTAGAAGACCTACTGGATGGATATGTAAAAAAAAATTAACTCAAAATGTTCCATCTTGGAACGTGAACTATCAGTGGTAAACCACTGCAGTTTATCAAACGCTTGTGTAGCGTTTATCACTTAGATGAAAGTCTAAGTGTCTTTCGAATATCGCTGTGTCTGGTGCGTTCACCACATATCTTGGCAATTCATTCCAGTGAGAACAGATTCCAAGTGAGTAAAAATAATTTCTGCAATTCAGATGGGAGTGTTGCGCCATTAGTTTCAGGTGGTTGCCTCGGCTTTGTTTGCAAGGGGATAGGGTCAACAATGACGTACAAGGATCCTCATCATCATCATCATCATCATCAACAGTAGTACATCAGCCATTTGAACTGATGCTTCGCTACCATACAAACATGAGGACCTATGAAATAAAGAATAAGAAGAGGGAGAGAAAGGGGACTTACCCGAAAACCTTAATGCCCTAAGCAAACCTTCAGGGTCAAAGCGCCTACACCTTGTGTAGAAAACATTCCGCCACAAACAGCTGGCTATCGTGCAAAAATAAGGCGGCATCGGCGAGACGGCTTCCTTGCGGCTTTCACTGCCACGCGTCATAATCAGCCATTACCCCGCAGATAAATCAGCACCAAACACACTTTAAACAGACAATCCGATTAGGAGACGGCAGCAGACGCGCCACTGGTGTCTACTGCGAGCCATGTCCTGTAAAGTCTCAAGCCAAGCACAAGGTGAGTCACGTGGACTCCAACCCGGAAGGCGAGACGGACCAACGGCACCAAGTTTAGTTGTCAGTGACTTCATTTCACGCTGCCAAGTCAACTTCTGTCCACCTCGAGCTTTGCGCCATCCTACACCTGGCAGACTGAACAAGGCCCGCCTAGGTAAGCGGTGACCAGGCATGCGTAGCACGTGCCCGAGCCAACGCAACTTATTCAGTGCTATCTGTTGTTCTACGGAGCTAGCATGATTATCACCACCTAGTACTCGCCTACGCACATCATCGTTGCGGACACGCTGGTGCCATCCGACACCAGCAATGCTTCGCAAACAACGATGATCAAAGA